CCATAGGTTGCCAAATCCCAGCAAGATTTTCCAACCCAAAATCCACGAGAATACCCACACAAAAAAAACTCAGAATGATTTTTTGGGCTAAAAACGTAATGTAATCAACTTGGGCTATCATGATTCTGTTTATTGTCTTTCTGTTTATTTAATACCTACAAGTCTCTTGGAAAAAAATATGCGGGAACCACCAAACCTGGCAACCCTGCTGCATAGTGTGTAAACAGGAACACTGAACCAGTGCTTCAACCAAACTTTACAGGAACATTTGACTCTTAAAACACACATATATCAACATAGAACCATCTACATCTCGCCTAAAATTGCATTGAAAGTGACATCCATGTCTTAATTTGATCGTATTTACTCTTTTAAAAAGATTCGCGGACTTTACGTCCGCCATCTTGGATTCCTCTCGCTGCTGCATGAGAGAAGCTTGAGAAGGCAGCGCAAACCCCACGTAACACCGGCAATCCTGATTGGTCGATTAAAAAATACTCTGGGGAAGGCGTTCGCTATGGCGACGATACCAGACCAGTGGGGGAGGGTCCCAGCTCAAAAGTGGCCAAAATGACGTGCGCTGACATGCTTGCAATACCACCCCGGGCCGATCGGGGTGGACCCAGAAGTAGAATTAGCCAATGCTAACATATAGCATTGGCAGACCTCTCAAAACGTCTTTACAGGATGGACCAAAAGTTGGCTCTTGGCCCAAAGCTCCGTTCCACATGTGAGTCAATGCTGAGGGGGGTGGATTTTTTTGGTCCACTCTAGTTTACTTGCTGTGGACTTTAGAAGTCCCTCGTTCAAATGAATGGAGCTGCGCCGGCTGACGCATGCGCAGATGCGTTTTTTCACAATTTTCTTGTGGGCGGGACCACTCGCGGCCATTTTGGGTAGCTCCAGTAGAGCACATTTTTTGGCCCATTAGTTAGAACGGTGGAGATAGGCGTGACTCTGTCCGTTAATATATACAGTCTATGTACCAGACCCATGTGGCTCAGCCAAACGCCTCTGGTGGAGCATGACGGAACTACAAGGGTCTGGCAGAGCCAGGCTACTGTTTTTCCCCTACCACGAGAAACATGTACAACATTTCAGGGTGAATTAAAGTGTTGTTGTGAGTGTGACTGCACTGTCCCAGCCAAACAACACTAACACATTACCATAAATGTGTACACAATTGTATCTTATTCTACAGTGATTACAGCACTTTCTGAGTCACAAACAATCTTCTTTGTATGTTTAAATGTGTGGTAGAGAATTGATTATTGAATAAGTATTTGATTTGTTAATTGATTATCTACCAAATGTGATTCCTGACTCAACAATAAATCAGTAAGCAACAGGGAGAAAAACTAGACTTATATGAAAGTTCTTTTTATAAACATGTGTATAGTTTTCATTGAAATGGTTCCATCGTGTTTCATAACAAGAAGTTATTGTTGTAGCTGTTAACATGGATTCATGTATTGTTCATGAAAGTTGCACACTCTTGCTAATTTCCTCTATAATGAGAAGATGGCTAAAACTTTTTGTGAAGAAACACAGGAAGTTTACTGCAAACATGAGGTGAGTTTTGGCATGAAACCAGAACATGAAAGAGCTCATATCTTTTAGCATTACTTCCCCTAAAGGCAACACCAGGGGCCGCGAAATGTTTGGAAAGTCTAAAGGTGTGAAAACATAACGAGCAGTTTAAGATATATGAGAAACCAATAACAGAACTTCCTTCACACAAACCGCCACGTGGCTGATAATATGTCGTTGTAAGCAGAATATTTAGATGTTTTGACTGTTTTGTTGTTTTTAACTAATATAAGTCTCTCTGCAATGTGTTATTGCAACCATTCAAAAGGATTTTTGATTTATCGTATAGCCCTATCATTAACTATCTCTCAGCAGCAAGAAATTAAAGGCTTTTGTAAAAAAATTATACATTTCATTAATATATGACACAAAGTATAGCGATGTTGAAAACCACATCCAACAACCTGATTCTAGCACTGCAGTGATTACCAGCTTGCTGATTGGTCAGAACGCTCACATGTCCCTCTGTCCACGAGCATGAGAGCAACATGAGCGCCACCGTCTACAGTCAGCGCTGATTGGTCAGAAAGCTCAGGTGTTTCTCGGGTCCTGTGGAAGTAGAACCACTGTGCTCTACTGAGCAAGACCAAGAGAACGAGTGTCACTTTGCTAATGTTTGGGACGTCGACGGTGCAAGCGTGCGCCAATGAGCACAAGCCATTAATTTGAATGGAACATCTTGAAAACCCGGGGTCAAAAAGTGGTCAACAAAGAATAGAACTATAGAAGAAACTATAGAAGTATCTTGATTATTGCCTTTGGAACTCTACCTGACCACAATATCGACTCCTTCATTATTCACATCAAAACACTGTCTAGGCAAGCATACCATTCTCATCCTGTTTAAAGAAACTAATATTTAAAAGACTAAAGAATATTATTCATTTTGTTTGTGGCTGATACACTAATAATGTAATCAAAAAATGTATTTGGACTGTTAGTTTTGTGCATTTTCCACAAAAAGTGAATGAAAGAAAGATTCAATTCTGGCGGAAAATGCCAACAAAAAAGCCAATCAGTTATCAGGCAAAGGCATCAAATAGTGACTCACAAGGCTCTTTCTCACAAGTATGCAAATGATAACATGTTTTCTAATACAGAGGAAGGAATTTAGTGGTCTGATTTGTTTGAAAATGTTACTTTTACAAGACTCTTTCTGTTGAGACCAGTGGTTGGCTGTGGTTGGCCGTCTGATCACGGCTATAACAAAGTGGGTTGCCATCTTTGCAGTCTGGCTCTTGGTTCAAAACACAGCTCTTAGCCCAATACAAGTTCCACTTTTGTGTCAATGCTGTGGGGGAAGTTTTTTTTTTCGGTGCTATGGATTTTCTTCCGCCGTAGATCCGGTATGGTCACATGATGCGCACCACAACAGCAGTTCCAGCCACGTGTGATCACTCCACAATTTGCATTACTTGGCTCATTCAGAGACAGATGAAAGCAAATTTTTTGACGTTTTTTTTTTCACTGGAAGTCCATAACTTCGAATGGGGCGGATAGAGCATGTTCCATCCATTACTGTATAACTATTTATGGTGGGGACAAACAATGTATTATTTATGAAAAAAGTTAGGTACCCCACCATAATATCCATTATCGTCCCATCAGGAACCCCGAGACACTGTGAGCGAGACATGTTTAACATTCACAAATGAACTGCAATCATCCAATTGTTGCAATCATAATATCATAATAACCCCAAAAATATAGATTCTGGTCAGTGTCATGTATCCCTAAAGTCCAGCACATCTCACTGTCATTAACGGGCCACAGATGTTCTGGACACTTTCACCATTCACGTTAACGACAGTTGTGACATTAAAATCGGCTGTTCCTTTTCTCACTGGTTTGTGTCAGTGGAGGTCCCAGAAGAGCAGCTTTAGGGACTGGAGCTGAGCGCCAGAGAAGAAAAGACAAAGAGTGAGAGGTCCTCAGGTTTCACAGCTGCCGGCCCAGATCAGCCCTAAAGTAAATGGACTTGAGGAAAGCCAATCCTAATTGATTCCAAGCCTCAAAGCTCTTTAGTAAACATTGTGGAGCAATGAAAATGACTTGTTATCCTAATTCATTGGATGCTGTGTGTTCTATAGCTGCACGAGCCATTGCAAAGAATCTAAGATGATAATGACCACTCAAAGGTTTTCCCAACTTCCACAAAAATTACAATACTATGACTAAAATGGATTTAAAATGTAATTGTTACTTTCAACCATTCATGTGAATTTGGATCTTAATTAAAGTACAAAGCCCAAAAAGTTAGGGTTAGGGTTAGCAAAGAATACTGTAATCTTTTCTGAAAATGCACAATATAAGTCAGCTGAAATGTTAACAGTTCATCAGATTGTCCGCTTGCCAAATTGTGTGTGACGTTTGTGGGCTTGTGTGTGATCTTTGTGGGCACGTGTGTGTGTGTGTGTGTATGTGTGTGTGTGTGGATGTGTGTGTGGATGTGTGTGTGTACTTATGTGTGCGTGCATGCGGTTGTTTAGAATCATAAAATCAAAAGGCATGAACTGGAGCTGAGGCTTGGCTGGGGGAAGGTGCACAGTTTTAATGACAGGTAAACTCAGGTGAGGCAGACCAGGCCAAGTCTCTGTTACAGCACAGATTGCTGCTCCTTCAAGGGGATGAAATTCCACCCTGTTCTGGACAAAGAGCCCAGCGCTGTGTCAGTCAGGCTTAACTGATGTGCCTCCCATCCAATATTCACCAGCTCCTCAAGCTGTAAATCTACACAAGCAGCTCCACACACAGCCTGAGCCCTGTCCAGCAGCCGCAGCCACAGGCCTGCTGCCGACGAGACCCGCTGCAGTTGAGGCCTGCTGTAGACAAAACCTGCTCCATACAAGACCTGCCACTGGCCACAATATAAATGTGGCAATTCATAAAATTTGAAAAATAAAATGCATTAAATAAAGAGGATTTTTGTCTGCATCGGAAAATGATATTACATAATGTTTGTGTTACTTAATCCTCCACTGTGACAGAGAGGCTGTTCCAAACTTTGGGCTAGATTTCCCATAGAGTGAAAGGATCTACTTTGGAGCATGAAATGCTAAACTGTTGTAAAAGCAGTCACGGCCGGGGCTTCAACAATGACCTCATCATATCCTCTGGGAGGCTTTGGCGTGCTCTGCTGTGGGACAATACTGGATGAACAGCAAAACATGAATCTCAGAACCCACACACGGCACAAAGTGAAACAAAACCCCGACATTCCCCCTGAGACTGAGGCGGATGACAGCGCGGACACAATGGACAAGCTCAGCCTGAGGCCATGACACTGCCGAGGTGAGACCCCCAAATATCACGTTTCTATGGGACACAGACCCACAATACACGATGCCCATCAGGGAAAGTAGTAATCTCTTTATCTACATTTACAAATTATTTGTAAAAAAACAACTCACCCAGTCTGTCTGTTTGTGGAGGGCGCTTGCGTGATGACGGAGCTGGACTGGGGAGAGGGCAGGGCCTGCTGGATGACGATGCTGGTGTCGTGGTTGCCCATCCGTGAGTGGGGCGGCTGGTGCGGGGCCTGGCCGTGCAACGAGATGCTCTGCAGACAAACAGATTCAAGGTGAGCAACTGTCAGGCTGTCACATTCTTTCCACAAGTGCGGTTTCATCACAACAGCGTTACGGCTGTTTGGCCTTGGGCACCATACCTCTCTGGATAATGAGGAACTATATAAGTTATCATCTGCAGGTTTCTGCCGAGTACAAGCCGTAATCAACACCACATTTCTCTCCACATGTGGACTTGACAGAAAAACACAAGGCCCTAGAACAAACTATCAACATGTAAATTAAATGTTTGTATAAACTCAGCCCAGGATTGCCGTTACACAATTCAACATTATGGGCAATACATTATATTTCAGTTGCGTTTAAGTATGGAATAAAGATTAAATGGTATAATTATGACCAAAAAGGCCACAGTTTAACAGTATCATCACGCTTAATCAAAACAAAGGGCCTTTTTAGCAATAAATACAGTATATATGTAGATTTGTTTCTACTTCATCCTCAACAGTGCAGAACTTTTAGGAAATGGCAAAGTCATTCAAGGCAAAAGAGATTATGTCTATATAACATGATAGAGTCATAAAAGCATTGGAAGAGCTCAGACTATTCCATCCTGGTTATTGACATCATTTGTTGCCGACCGATATTCTGACCAAAAATAGTAGTCAAACCTGGTGCACTATGATGAACAATCACTACACTATTACTCTAAGGTTCACAATTAAGTATGTTGATGTTGAAACAATTTAAAAAAAATACCCTACATTTATAGGTGTAAATCCATCCATCCATCCATCCATTTTCTTCCCTTTAATCCATTTCTGGGTCAGGGGGGGTGGCAGTCAGAGATGCCACCCAAGTCTCATAGCACCAGCCCCTCACTGACCCTCTGCAGGTGGTGAGTCCACAGGAGGACGGCTGCTCTCTGAGGGTGAGCATAGCCTTGATCTTTCAGTGGGGGCTTTGGGCAAAGCGGGGTTAAGTGTCTTGCCCAAGGACACAACGACAGCAGTCATCAGTGGGAGTCGGTGGAGAAGGTGCAGAGGTGGGAATTGAACCCACGACCTTCAGGCCTGAAGGCCAATGCTCTACCAACTGAGCTACTGTCGCCCTAGGTGTAAATCGTCCATTATTATTATATTTTCTACTGGTAAGTTGGTAAATTGGTATGGGTAAATTGGTAAGTTCTGACAGAAAGAGAACAGAAATCAATAACATATTATCTTTTACATACTGAGAGCTAACTGCATGAGAGAGGACTGATTAGATAAGATAAGATAAGCTCTTTATTGATCTCACACTGGAGAAATGTACATTTGGCATAGATAGAATCACTCAGATTATGCAAAAAACAGAAGTGTGCAAAATGGTAAAGGCAGAAAATATATTCTGCTCAGGATATATTATACTTGGTATTCTCTTTTCCTAATCCTCCAGCTCCGGTAGTCCTGATCAAGCCGAGCATCAACATCTGGAGATGGGTCCCCGGTCGCTGAACTACGGCGACCACTGCTCCTGGTAAACGCCCTAGTGGCATCAGGACGGGTCAAATGCAGAGGACGAATTGCCCTACAGGGATAAATAAAGTGCACCTTTAACTTTTCCCTTGAAAAAGCAGATCTAAAGATGTGACAGGAGCCAAAAATATGTGCATGTGAACATTAGTGATAGCCTCAAATTGTTTTGAAAGAAACTAGTTACATTGATTTTACTTCATAGTACATTTTTTGTGTTTTACAGTACTACAGCATGATTTCACATTCTAACACAAAATGCCAAAGGAAACCGTAAAAATAATGCACAATATTTCTTCTTTACACTTGTACAATGTGTAAAGCACGGAGTGAAGCCTCTCCATTAGAAGCTGCTCAGACAGCCCTGTGCTGACAGTGCAGGACCATTAGAAACTGCTCAAACCACAGCGGCCCGAGGCCAGACACTGGCCTGAGACACTTCTACAGACATGAGATAACGCTGTCTGCTGCTGATTCCACTTGTCGCCATGTTGCAGGTAAAGACACCTCAGGGGCCCATCCATAATTCATAAATCTTGGAGTTCAGGCAAAACGCTGGGTCAGGCCTTTCTACTCAAACGGCTGCTGTGTGATAAAAAGTCTTAAAAGCCCGCGCTGACAGACTGTTGTGGAGCCGTTTGATGTCTCAGGTGAAGAACGCGATCTGTGCTTCAAACCGGACGGGGTCACAAAGGTTCACCTGCCTGTCCGTCTCTGTCAACAAGACTAATTGTGTTTGGGAGTGACAGGGCTCAGATAAAAACACGGTAGGATAGACACTGATTTCAAAGATTCCATGACATTCGAGATTTCTAGTCTCTATGGAGAATGAACATTGATATTACCCTTGTGAACATACTGTATATTTACAGTTTCAGCTAATTAAAAGGGGATAAAATGCTAAATCAAATGTTCACATATTTTGTCCCTTAATCATAAATATTAATAATAGTAATTATAATAACACATTATTATTATCACAATTACTATTATTATTATTATTATTATATAGTAGTTTTTTCTAGGGATGCACTGATCTAGCCTTTTCCAGCCTAATGCCAATCCCAATAATTTTGCTTCAATATCTGCCGAAACCCAATATGAACCGATATCAGTGAAGGGACTTATGCATTGTTTTGTATAATTTTAGAAGGCTTTTTGTATAGCGCTTTTTTTCACTTTTGGCACTTTACAGCCGCCCCACTGTGGCACCTGGTGTTCTCAGAGGTCTCCCATCACTGTTGGCAGGGCCTGCTTAGCTTCAGAGGTCTGTTGGGATCTGGCTTTCACATGCAGGTAAGGCCACAACAGAAAATCTCTGTAATTGAACAAGGAACAACCAGGAATATTTTAGGAGTGATCCTGAGCACCGTAGGAGGTTTTTGTTGAGGAATTGAACTGTGTCTGTTGGTGAGATGCCATGGCTGCCATCTGGCTCCTCTGACCGCCACGACACTCTCACTGTTCTACACTGTTTTCAGTCTGTGATGTGACCTGTTCTGATGTCACCAAAAGGGGCGGAGCACAGATTGATCATTACATCATTGTAGATCAGTATTGAGATTCCAAATGTTCAAGTGCCTTCATTCCTTTGCAACTGTCACAGTCAGAAAAGAAATGTTCTACATTTATAATGAGCGTTACATTCTCACTATATAGCAGGCACAAACATGTTTTAGTCCTCTGCATTCTCCTGCCTTCTACCATTGCTCAAAAAAAAATCTTCTACCCCCACCCATTATACAACCAGTGTGTGTCCCCGTTTTTGTGAGAACGCTTTGCCTGGTGTAGGAAAGGCGCTCTAAAAGTTGATTGATTGATTTATTTGTTTGTAGATTTCTCTTTCTGTAGAAGCATTGACACACATAACATTCAGCAGCAAATTAAATAAGGCTATGGTCTACTTTATTGTCGCTACATAAAATATCAATTTATTGAACATTTAGATGGCAAAGATCTTGAGGAAGAGACATTCACCTGCACAATTCAATTTTGGCCACTGTTACATTTTTAGGTCAGCTTTTTCAGGCAGAACAACAAAAAAGAGAATCAGCCAATCAGCTCTCCGCCCAAAGGGTCAAATAGTGAGACACAGGGGTCTTTCTAAGCATCAATGAAATGTTTTCTTCCTGTAATAAGATAAAAACCGCAAGTTGTCTTGTACTTTTTTCAAAAATGTTTCCCTTCATATTTGGACAAACATAGCCTGCTCTTACATATCATCATAATAATAAAATTTCGTACTAAGATCTGGATTTGCTCCATTGATCTCCGTTAACATGGTGGGAGGTGTTAAATCCTTATGCAGATTGAAACGTGCACAAGTAAGTGAGGCATTTAGCCTAGCTTTAGCCTTTGCTACAACATCTTTGCCAGCAATGAAATCTGCTAAACATTCCTCTTGCTCCGGCTTCAATTTCTTGATATTTGGGAGCCAATCCAGAACGGATTATTTTACTATCACATTCGTCGCCATCGCCAAACTACAACCAGCAAGTTTGGCGCAAACTCTTGACGTCACCTACCTACAACACCCGCCTTCCCCGCTCGCTGAATGTTTGGATGGGATGCAACCGAAGTAACCGCAGCCACTAGGATCAGACCCAGACGTAAATGTAGGAAAATGATAATTGACTGGAGTTTATGGAGGGCTAAGGCCCGGCTTGGACAAATATGAATTATTTGAACATTAAAAAAACATTAGGTTCCCCAGCTTTAAAACATCCAAAATAAGATTTCTCACTTTTACTGTAGCATTCAAGTTATAGATAAGAAGTTCTCACGTTGTATCTCGGAACTCTTTAAAGGCCGTCTCTTCCTGCCGTTAATCACAGCAGAAGACACTGACAGCTCTGCACCCTGACCTCTGTGTGGGTGGCCATGACTTTGGGTTCACATGGGTTTTTCTTTAGGCTTTGGGTTCACATGGGGTTTGTCTTCGGCCTGAGGGAGTTTTTCTGTCCTGATGTTACCTGTTTATTGTCTTCTTCTTCCTGAGCTTTACAGAACTCCTGTTCGATGGAGCAGTCCAGGTCACTGAAGAGACCCACCTCTTCACAGTTCTTCAGGAAGCGCGTCGGCGTGGGGGTCTGGTCTGAAAATATTTACAAAGATGCTAAAAACACAGGAATTGATCTGCAATTTATTGTGTTTTAAAATGATGTAAAACAGAGAGCAAAAACTATTTGGTATTTCCTTGTGCTAAAAAGGAAAAGCCAATGCATAGATTGTACTGTATTATTATTCTGAAAGGACACATTAAGGATAAATCATCATTTTTGAGTTTTTAACCATGTTACTATAATGTTCCTTCAGCAGAAGTTTTAGCTCCAGCCATGCTGTATCAGCTCCAAGGACATGGAGCATGTCCCCCCACCCATTCTGACAAAATGCTGTTTTTAAACTGTACAAGCTAGACAAACCTTCAGACGACAGAGGCTTTAGAAAACTAAAGTATTGTCTCCAAATCAATCGTGGGAATTTTGCAATTCAAATTTTGTTCAAATAAAGCATGATCAAGTCTAGATAAATCTATTTCTCACTTTGGATGAGTATAGAGTTGTTGTATTGAACTGGCAAACTAGTTACATTTACTAATATTAAATTCACTCCTAAAGTTTAGAAAATAATTGTAATTAGGAAAGCATGTAAATGTAAAACAAAAATATACTTCTTTGACTTGTTTGAGCTGATGGAGCCCAGAGCTGTAGGCAGAGTAAGAGGGGGCTGCAGGGTTCAACTTGACTTTGGGTGAGGGGTGCACACGGATCAAGTTTCACAGTTGAGGTGATTTTAGGATCAGGGTTGTTTGAAGGTTAAAAGCAAATTTGAGGTTTTGTTGATAAATTGGTTAGGTTAAGAGAAGGCCAACGAATTTATAGTGCACTAAACACCCTTATGTTTGTGGAAAAATGGAACAGATGGCAACAATAATAAAACCTGTAGGAAGGGTATGGGAAACTGCAGTTCTATACATAACAAAGGCACAGTGGGCACGAATCAACAATCTTCAAATTTACTGGTAAATGCTTTAATTTCTTTGCAAACCCAAGTAATTCATATATTATTTTGTGTTTTTCCTTGTGCTGTATACACACTTGTTTGTAAAGTGATCTATGGATTTTGGAGTCCTTCACTCCAGCGGCACAACTGGCTCCCTGGCCCCCATTGTTTTGACATATTTTGCTGGCTGGTTTTTATCTGTATGAAGTGTAATATAAAGTGAAAAAACATGAAAACACCCTGAATTATGGTAACTCCTAATTAGAAGTTTGCAAAACAAAGAGATGGGATAAAAGCTTGGCCAAACTGTGAATCTTATTGACTCGCTGTCCCACTGTCTGTTTTGTGGAAGCACTTATGGGGCCCTGAACCCTGGACTCCTCGGCCTGGACATGTGGAACGCACAACCCCCAATTTTGGATGCTTTGAAACTTTTTTTTTTTCTTTCAATTAGGGCTGGATGATCCATGGAAAAATATTCACAATCCTTTTCTCCATATTCACCAAACTCGTTTCTGATTTGATTAATTCTATTTTCTTAAATACATAAAACAAAACAACAAAATAACTCTAAAAATAAATTTTCTATTAACAAACGCACACAGAGTGAGGCTTATAAATGGGTGGAAAAAAGGTATTAACTTCTTTTTTTAGATTTCCGTCAACCCTCTTTGCATCCATTTTCTTTAACCCCTTTGTTTGGCTCAAAGGTGAACATAGATCTAAATAAATTGATCTAATAATAATAATAATGCATTGGTTTTTTTGGACACTCAAAGACGCTTCACATGTCATTATTCATTCACTCCATGCACGGTGGTGATAAACTACTACTGTAGCCACAGCTGCCCTGGAGCACACTGACAGAAGCGTGCCATCGGCCCCTCCGACCACCACCAACCATTCACACACACACCAGACTCATTCTAGGCAATGGGGGTGAATTGTCTTGCCTAAGGACACAACGGCAGTTTGGCACTTTACAGCCGCAGCCGCCCCACTGTGGCATCAGGTGTTCCCAGAGGTTAAGTGTCTTGCCAAGGGCACAACAACAGCAGACATCAGTGGGAGTTGGTGGAGAAAGTCTTGTGGTGGGCTCGAACCCACGACCTTCTGGCTCAAAGCCCAATGCTCTACCAACTGAGTCACTGTCGCCCCACTTGTTTATTTCTACTATTTGAAATAAACAAGATTACTGGATCTAACTGTAATTAAATATGTTATGTATTGATCACAGAAGATAAGCCATAGTTAGCCATAGTTAAACAATCAGTATATTTTTTTAGTGGGAGGGGAAACTGAAGCACCCAGAGGAAACCTCAGCAGACACGGGGAGAACATGCAAACTCCACGCAGAAAAGCCCTGTTCCAACAAAGCTAACCCAGGACTTTCTTGCTGAAAATCGGCTGCCACCGTGCCGGAGGTAAATCATATGATGGTATAAAAAAATAGTAATTATTTTTTTCTTATTGGGAAAATTAAACAAGAATCATTATTGCCTCTTGTTCAAGATGACCACCTTGTGACATCTTTTGAGCCCAAACCAAAAAAATTCTAAAATGCTGGAGACATTGTAAATGGTGCCGTAGAGGTCAACGAGGACCTGGCCTATAAAATCTAATCCCGCCGTCTAGTGTAAATAATAAAAAAGGAACAATTTCAGTGGCCTGGCTGTCGCACTGCTCTGTCTTTGATACAAGGTTATTGGTTTGGCCTTGACTTACACATTTTTGTGAAAGTCAATTGTGGCTTGTGATAAGAATATTAATTAAATGTTGAAAATACAAAAAGATGCAACAGGTACATAATAGTTAAAATAGTTAATAAAGTATCGGTATCAGTGAATTTGAATGCACATGGGTGAATAGGGGACTATACAGGGGAAATAGGGAGTGGGAATGTCTGGTTAGGTAACATTTCTAGTTAATTTTAGTTATTTTGTTTGGTGGATCCGTGTTGTACATGTTCTAAATTGAACATCGTTTGATTGATTGATTTGATCTTTGAACTTCTTTTGAGGGGAGGTAAAAGCTCCAAACACTGCACTAGTGACATTCAGATATGAATTGAGACCAGTTGACCAGTTAGTGTGAACACGCCTAAAGTCCTCTTTGAAACAATCCTATCACAACATGAGCACTGAAAGTTACCCACCAATAAAAGTTCTTTAAAATGATGTTTTCTCTGTGGATTATGTTGTAGTTAACCTCATCATCATACTGTAAGTGTCTGTCTGAGGTGGCACCCAGGAAGAATAGACATGTTATAAAGTGAGTGGATAATATGACGTTGTGTCTGCATGAGTCAGAGGCACACACCTGCAGAAGTTTGCAGATTTCCTGTACAAACTGTAGCTCACCTGATAACATGTTGTCGTTCTTTATGGCAGGGAACTTGAGGGTCATCTCATGTTTGTGTCGGTGGATCATCAAATGGTCTTCTGTGGGAAACCGCTGTGGATAAAGAACAAAAGGCAAGCTGTTGATGAAAGCATGGTTTCTTCAGTAAAAGACTTCAGAGGCCTGGAGCTCGGGAAAGGTCGTTACGCCCACCGCCAATTCCCATTTAGCCAAAATATTTAAATGAAATACATTTTACAGACCATCACAAAATGTTTCATTTGCCAAAAGAAATGAAAAATCACATATTTTGAGAAACAAGTATGAAGGTTTAAAAAAAAGCTTTCCACCTGTAACTCCCTATTCTACCACCAGAGGGATGTTTTGGTTTAAAGAATATAATTTCACCTGAGAAATTGACAAATCTAATTTTGGGGAAATACTTTTGTTTTGCAAGGCAGAGCTCTGAGTGTCTTAATGACATCATGCTATAACAGGACTGAGACATGAGCTTTCACATTGAGTTACATTTCCTAATATTAGCGTAGATAGATTCAAAAACAACTCAAAGTCTGGTGGATGAGAGAACAATCTCTGTTTAAAACATTGTTTAAATCTCAAAAAAATTCATTTTGCACATGTCTCTTGTAATTTATTTTATTTTAAGGGAAAAGACTAGTTTGGGGTGAGGTGGATGAGTATGTTAGAATGTCTTTGCAACGAGCAAAACTTTTTTCTTCCTTCTGTTCTTGTTTGTTCATGCTGTACCACTTGTAATAGGATGATACGAACATATAAATGAATAAATACAAACATAATAATATTTTGGACTCTTCTCCTAAGAGTCTTGTTGGTGTAAAATACAATGAAAAGAGATGCAGTTGTGCCTTAGTCCTGACAATGTATTTTTTCAAATCAATTTTTCAGAGAATGTGTATGATACCACAAAAGCTTTATGGTGGAGGTTGGATTAATTGTTTTTTATAATCCAACAGAAACTATACAAATGACAATGATCAAAAGTTTACACATCCTGATGATTTTAGGATCAGAAGTCAGGTGTTAGATTTTACACTATAACAAATGACGAGAAATAAATCAAAAATTGCTCAAATTTGGCAAAATGTATCTTCATTTGAGCACTTTTTGACTGCCTCTGAACAAGATTTGCCAATGGGACAAGCAAAAAGATAAGAAAAGTCTCCCTTGGAATGAGAAAATAAAGCAACAGTTCTTGAAATAAGACTAAATGGCTTTGTCCCATACAATTTTGTTTTAAAGACACTCAGAATGTTCTCAAATTAAGATAAGAAAAAACATCAAGTGCTTTATCCATTTAGATAGTTTTTTTTTTTTTTTTTTTACATATTTTATAATTTTTTCAGTGTAAAGGCAATGCTAGTAACTGACTTAAAACACTAACCAAGAGTGGAGAATATAATTTGTCTCTTGTTCTAACAAAAATGGCGAAGTAATACAAAATTCTACCAAGTTATGTAAAAACAACTGTACATTTTCATTAATCGATAGAAGTGATCTGGCGTGAGCGTGTTTCTTGTCGCGATTTGGACAGAGACACTGATCCACTCACCTGAGAACAGCCAGGGGCGTTACACACAAACGGTCTTTCCAGGTCCGAGTTCATGCCTCTGGTCAGCTTCTCATACAACTGAAGACACAAGAAAATAGTGGTTGGCCTTTTGCTGCTTTAAATCCTTAAGACCGGATTTCCGAGCAATTTATAAGAGTGTGGGAAAAGAGACTACAATTTCTTTTTTTTTTTTTTTTTTATATCTCCAATTCATATCATACACTTTTCCAAAGTCTAGAATACAAGGGAATAGGTTTATTTAGACATAGTCAAACTTGAATGATCCACAAGGGAAATTACTTGGAGATGGAAAAAACTCAAACATTATGATTTCCGGAGAACACCTGAGTATAAGCAGCACCAACTAAAAGGAAAAATATATTATAGGCCATGTAATCCTGGGGAGAAATGTAATTGACGTCATCCTGTTATGCCTCAAAGGTTCAGCTCGACATGAAAACACTTGAATTCAATTTATTTTTGTATAGATCTAAAGTACAACAAGTTATCTCGGAAAACTTTACAAAGTTGTCGAACAAGCGATAGGGCCGAGGGTAAATTGACAGCTGAAGTCAATAGGATGACAGAAAAAGTAGGAGCGAGGAGAGTAAAAAAAAAATCAATGGGTGAAAACTAGTGATGAAACCAAACTGTTAAAGAGCCAAGAACAATTGATTTTATTGCATAATTAAATTTTTGTGGTTTGAAACATAAGTACCCCAGCTTTAGATAAACAAGAAGATCATAGTATCATCTGAAATGGGGATTCTAATTCATTACGATGTATTACAACACAGCAAGTATAATGTTAGTGCGGTTAGGATTTTTCAAATGTCAATCCAAACACATAAGCAAGTCTTGAGCATGTGCTAATGTATTGCTTATGCCCGTCCAAACTGCTTAAAGCTATTGTAAATATATTTCAAACCACAAAAAAATAAAATAAACTAGAACACAATAATAAAAAAAAAAGATTCATTGCTCCATCAGTGGTTTTCACATTTGGTCTCTGCAACATCTTTTGATCAACTGTTTCAGAGAGAAAAGTGAAAAAGAGAGGACCACCCTCACTTAACCAATCAGCTCTCAGGCCAAAGCATGAAATAGTAACTCACAAGGCTCTTACAAGTACGCAAAAGATAACGTGTTTTCTCAGACAGCACGTTGTGGCCGGATTTGTTCTCAACATTTTACTTTTACAAAACTGTTGGAACAAACAAATAGTATTATCTATGAAACACAAGGTGAAGCATCGCGTCTTTAATTCCAGTATCAGAGTTATGTGTTTTTACTGTCTAACCTGTGTGCTTTATTGTTGTTCTTTCTTCGTCCGAGACAATAAGCCTTCTGAAGACAATAAAGTTTAGTCTGTACCTTTCAGTTCTATTTTAAGACAATTGTGTCCAACATGTCTTGGATGACCTTCCCGAATCAGTGCAAATCTCTGGATAATGATTGTGAAAAGACAAATAAAACCCATATATTAATCCATACAGATGAACCAGATAAATGCTAAAATACAGGTGAAACTCTACTGTACTTCAACTTCATTGTGAAACTAATATATGACGGACTAAAATCAAAGATCGAATTATTAATCTTTTATTGTTATAATGTTGATAATTATAGCTCACACCTGTAAAAAATCCAAATAAAACATCTTAGAAAATGTGAATATTTAGAAAATGGACTGAATCTACAATCATTAACAAATTAAGGCTTTATCATTTTGCGCAATACGTCTATAGCAGGCATGTCAAAGTCAAATACATCAGAGGGCCAAAAAAAATGTTTGCTACGCGCCGAGGGCCGGACTGGTTCAATGTTTCTCAACATCCAGAGGCAGTGCCGGTGACACCTGTTGGCTTGATAAAATATGCTCTAAAGCCAATCCTCATACTGTACATATTAGATGTTATAGACATCTGAGAACATGAAAATAGTAAAAAAAAAAAAAAAAGCTCAAACTTGGTGAAATGTAAAAGAGCAGTCTGGACCTCTTTTCGGGGCGTTTTTTGATTAAATCTGCAGAATGGATTATACTTTGGGAAATACAAGTGGATATTCTTCTTCAATAAACAGTTACGGAGAGAAAGACTAAGCAAGGATGGGGAAAGTCTAATTTGTTGGAGCAGCAGAAGACGAAAGGTAAAAAACAAATTTTAGACGTGATTTATTTTGTCCCCTTATTATGCGTTATATCTTTTTAATGCAAAGTCTGATATTGTTTACACTTACATATAAATATAGCTGAGAAAATAAGCTTTAAAATGATATATAGCTTGTGGCTTACGAAGTTCAAAATACATCTGCTATTGCCAACAGATTGCTGGCCCCCGCTAGCCCCCGCCGACGGGGGTTAGCGAGCTTAAGGGGTCAATACATTGCCTAAATGGCAGGCAATGTCCCGGGGGCCATAGATAATTCATTCGCGGGCCGGATTTGGCCCGCGGGCCTTGACTTTGACACATGTGGTCTATAGTTTCACATTGAGTTATTAAAATAGTTGAGCGTCACAAAAAAATACATAATAATAATAATTTTGGTATTGAAATTGGTAACAAATTTGGAGTATTCATTATGATCAGAATCGAGTTTGAAACATGAATTATGTATCTGTTTTTGTTTACACACAAATTACACAAAACCATTGGAGTCCAGCTGTGTGTCATGTGTCCTCCATGAATGCCTTCATACATTATGGGCGTTCTATATATGTCTTTTACATGGGCACAGACTATTTCCTCAACCTCAGTCAAAACACTCAAATATTGTGTTTAGCACGGCAGTCCTGTTTTCCTAACAAGCTGCAGTTCATGACGGAGGCAGCAGAACCGCGTCTGGACAGGGTCTCTGTGTCAGGACCGGCTCTGTCACCACGGGGGCCCAGCTCTGCACAAGGGCCACTGGACTCACCTGCACTAGGATACAACCACCAACAACATACAAGCATACGGCCTGTCACGATACATATAACATAAAACATACAGAGATTCAATATATTCCAATTATCTTTAATATTATTGAATCTGCTATTTGTCACTAAAACAATTACAATATAAAATCCTAATACGATGATTCAAATTTGTCTCCATTATTGAGGGGGATATAATCAGTGATTTTTTATACATTTGACCCTTTATTTCTAGTGTTGAAAATTAGCACCTGTGCTACAACACTTACAGCAATGCCTCTGGTTTGTCCAATGTTATTGTTATGTCCATATTAAATAGATAAATAATAATATTTAATAAGTGATGCCACCGGACAACATCTTCATAGAGGAGACTAATCTGGTTAAAAATACTTTGTAATTGCGTTCTAATTTAATTTTGCAGTCATTATAGAATTATTAGGGTCTTAAACCCTCAGCGTCTATAGTTTAAAGCCCTAACTGAGACCTGAATTTGTAGTGAATAAGCAGAATTAAACAATATTTAGAGCAACTAGAACTTAAATGTTCTATTACAAATACAAAAATCTAGCAAAATCCCTGCCCACACAATCAATAATAACCGCCAAAATATGTTGTAGATGCAAGAATTGAAGTCGATATAATTACTGCGACAGGCCTGTGTAAAAAATATTGAGGAACTTTTTTTCTGTAAGTCATTGAGCAATAAATTGATTATCTAGTATTTCACTATACATGTAATGAGTCTATATCACATTTTAAGTTGAATTACAGAAATATATAAACTTTTGAACAATATTATAGTTTTAGGTTTTAGGGTGAAGGCCAATTTTAGGGCCAATTACATTTTCAACAGTGGAGGAGCTCGAAGTAAAGCAATTGCTCCATGTCGAGAGGAGCCATATGAAGTGGCTCCGGCCTTTGTTTTGGGTGCCTCCTGGACAATTCCCTGGGGAGGTGTTCCAGGCACTTCCCACCGGTAAAAGGCGCACGGGAAGAACCAGGACACATTGGAGGGACTATATTCACCTGGATGAGTTAGAGGAAGTGTGTGTGGAATGGATAGTGAAGCCTGGGCGTCTCAGTTGGCCTCACAACCCGGTTATGAATAAAGTGGAAGAAAATGAATGAATGGATGGGCCTATTCAATTTGTGGTCCAGAAACCAAACCAAAGCTGATGCCACTCACTGCTCATCCCTCCAAAGATAATGTATCCCAGTACATTGTCTCTGCTTCACTTGGTAATGTAAATGTCAGAAACTTTTCAACTTGTGAGGATAAACTATTTCTCTCAACAAGTTTGGTTTTGTCACTAGCTTTCACATCCATGTCATTATTTCTCTCATTTAGATCAGCTTCTTAAGACAGATAAAAGTAATTTCAGAATATCACTTTCATCTATCAGCCCAAATCAGCCCAAATCAAATAGTGATTCACAGGGCTCTCTGAAGTATGCAAATAAAAAACGAAGACAGCATCACGTGGTCTGATTTGTTTACAAAATTATACTTTTACAAGACTCTCTCTGTTGAGACAAACAAAACATAATACTCAATAAAAAAGTTCGGAACACTCATTTTGTAATACTGCACTTAATTCTGGGGTTAATAAAGGCTTTATTCTGGTTCTAGCCCCGTCCCAGTCTGATCCCAGTTCAGTTTTGGTTTGGCAGCGCTATGTTGGCCAAGACTACTCACAAAATATAGTAGCTGCTGTTATAAACTCATTAATGAACATATCAAATGTTAATTATGTTAAAAGTGGTCTCAGAATGTGCAATTATGCAGCCTAGAGACCCCTTCTAAAAATGGTCCCTCAGGAAAATTGAGTTGGATTGCTTTGCTTTAGGGAGTGTTTATAATGAAGAATACAATACTATACCACACAATTATATTATTGAGAGAGACTATTTTTCAGGCCACGTAGTAATAAAAGACATAATTGAAGATGACAACGTTGTATTTGTGGTTTTAGATTTCTATTCCAAGCATAATATGAAGGATTTTTAAGGTATCATTAGTTTTAAAATGTAAATCAGTATGTCAAAGTCCTAATTATGTAGAAATGATAGTAAAAGGAATGAAAGTAGACCCGCTGCTGCCATTATGGAACTAGTAGTTTAAGACTTAGAAGATTCTTTTATGTTTAATATCAAATATAGTAGTATCGTAGATATGGAACATGGCTGTTGAATCCAGAGTTGAACAACTTAAAATGTATCAGAAATACAAATTTAATTTGTTTTATTCAGACAAATACTGTGCTATTGTTCAAATGTCACTGTTTAAATGAGTCCAGGAGAATTCCCATTTCAGAAAGAAGTGAACTCAAATGTCGTTTAACATGAAATACAAAAAAAATCTGTGATTTGTCAATTATAAGAAAAAAAGCATATAAATCAAATCCAGTTGAAAGCATTTTTAAACTCATTTACAGTAACTTTCCAACTCTCTTACATTAAAAAGGGCGCTTCGCTCTTTTCCTTTGATAAAGCTGTTTTAGGTTAGCAAAGGAAATTTAGTTACACTTTACATTAAGTAAAGCCTGATGTGAGCGGGGAGGGCAGGATTAGAGTGTGGGGTTCAGTTTCATGTGGAGCAGAGTAGAATTCTCCAGGTAGGTCGTATAGAACAATTTAAACAATATGCTGAGGAAAAGCGAGTTTTGCTGGAAAGGCATTTAGGGGTTATGGCACGCAACGAAACGAGGTGATTCAAGTTCCCTACACTGTAAAATATATCTAGTCTAATCAGGCTTAGAATGGGTTGTTCCTTTGCTTAAATTTCACTCATTTGTGGACATTTATTACAGTTGCAATGTACTCTAGAATACCTTTGCCAAAACTGCAAAAGAAGGCAATAAAGGCTTTAATTAAGTTATGGGTATTATTTGACAGCATTAAAAATAGACGGTGGCCAAGGCAAAAGCAGCTTAAGCGCAATTTCAAGTTAATTGTTTTTTTTGTCTTTCAAGAGAATTTGCTTGTCTTTATTGAAACAAGTAGTTTTTGCCCCAGCTTATGTAGTAGAAATATATAATACTTGTTAGAAGTTTGCAATAACACAATTTCTTGAACAGTATATCTTGATAAATGGAAACATTTGCAGTTTAATTTATTCTATGTAACTTTTTTTCAGTTAATGAGAAAAGTTGTGTTTTCTCAACCCATTGGCATAAAACACAACATTTATGTTTGTCAAGAAAATAAAACAAAACTAGTCGAAAGAAGACTTACAACAAAGTCCTGATTTCAAGACATTCAAAACAATCTAGTAACACACGTATTGACAGTTCATGGCTTGAACTTGGCGATGCCTGAAGCAACTTCTCAAACCAAACATTTAGCTCAAAACTAAACAAAATGACCCATACATTAAACTTACAGTGAAGCATTTCCTTTATAAAGAGCAATTACCTAAATCCTTTAAATCCAATGAAAAGGAAACCAGATGCAAAAAGAGCTTGTTTTATAAACTCCCAATTAACAAGTTTAGAGTGAATTTAAGCAGGAGGCTACTATGCTGCCACGACAACAAAATAAGTTTGTATATTTACTTAAATTATATTTACAGAGAGAAGGCGCTTACTAATTCTTTTCTAATTCCTTGAGAAGTGGGTTGTATTGTCATAGCAAAACAAGACGTATTGTTCTTGTTTTTGCAGTGAGCAGGGGTGAGAAATCCTCTTGCTAAATAAAAGTGACATTTCTATTGTTTATTGATGCTCACAGCCTATAAAGTTAAGTTCTCAACCACGTCCAAACAGCTCTTTTACATGTATTTATTGCATACAACAAAACATATCAACGCGGCTCTATATTCCTGAAAGACAACTACAATCTGTCACACTCATTTTAGACTATTGATGCAGCCAATTATTTCTCGACAGGGGATAAAGCCATAATGCATTCACTTAAAAAAACAAGTGGTTATTGATAGTGTTGTCACATAAAAGCGGAGTGATTAAAACACAAGCAGCGGTCACAAAGCACCGCCTTGTCAGCAACAGCAGAAGCAATAGCCCTCCTCATATACAGAAACGTCTCTTCAACATTTAATCAAATATAGAGACTGTAGCTGCAGGGTGACGTCATGCTGGACAAGTCTATGTAGACAAATAGAGCATCCAAAAGGTCCTTTTTTAATGTATTTACATAATTAAGTAGTCATTATTAAACGAACCTCTCGATGAGCATTTATTGTTCATCTGTTCAGTTGTGACAGGACGCAGCGCGGCTCTATCCCGGGATGTCCCAGACGTGACAATGGCGCAGAGAGACGCGAGAGGAGAGCGCTCGTAATCGGACGGTGCATTAAAATGAAAAAGCGATGTGCACTAATGTTTGCATCAATTACAGCGACATGCCCTTGACACAAAGTATAGCCCAGTATAATGCGAGCTGGACTCTAGATTCCAGACTCAGCAGCAGCAGCAGCAGCAGTGGCACTTGACTTGAACTTCCAATAGTCAACAGATGAAGTGAGATGGCATTGCAGGCACGCATACAAAACAGACCCACTATGTCTGTCCTATTCACTGCAAATAACTTGTGCTTTGCCAAACGAATTCATCACAAGCTGTTGCACAAATAGAGACAAAGTACAGGCGATGCATGGTAACGCCACAGTGGACGCGCATGCACGAAAGCCCCCGCGGCTCAAGTAAAGGCAGATGCTTTTCAACTCACCAAACAAATGTAGAAAACGTGAAGTAGTCTCTCAGAAGAAACCACGTTGGACTGAGGAAAGATTACAATACGATCTATTTAGAGAAGCATCACGTCACCCCGGGCTGACGTCACGTGGGATTCCTGAACTTCTAAATCATTGCGGTCCGAGCTGGAGAGGCGGCGCGGCGCGGGAGACGGGCGGAGTCTCCGCACAACCCGCCCCGAGTCCGGAAAGAGAGCGGAGAGAGAGAGGCGAGAGGGTGGACGTCCCGAGCTCTTACAAAACAAACATACACCAAACCGAGCGATAAAGTTGTTGCTCAGAGGCTTGAACGGGCGGTCCAGCCAACGCATGCTGGGTGTTCATGTCCCTGAGGCACGGGCAGTGATGGGATATGTTTAAACTCGTATCGCTTAACGTGGCATAAAGTACTAATAATAATAATAATGCATCGGTTTTATATAGCGCTTTTTTGGACACTCAAAGACGCTTCACATGTCATTATTCATTCACTCCATACACGGTGGTGATAAACTACTACTGTAGCCACAGCTGCCCTGGGGCACACTGACAGAAGCGAGGCAACCAGTATGTGCCATCGGCCCCTCTGACCACCACCAACCATTCACACACACCAGACTCATTCTAGGCAATGGGGGTGAAGTGTCTTGCCTAAGGACACAACGGCAGTTTGGCACTTTACAGCCGCAGCCGCCCCACTGTGGCTGGTGTTCCCAGAGGTTAAGTGTCTTGCCAAGGACACAACGACAGTAGTCAGTGGGAGTCGATGGTGAAAGTCTTGAGCGGGGCTTGAACCCACGACCTTCTGGCTCAAAGGCCAACGCTCTACCAACTGAGCTACTGCCGCCCACAAAGTACTAAACAATGATGCTAAGATATAGCCACAGCTGCCCCAGGGCAAACTGGCAGTAGAAAGGCCACCCATTTGTACCCTGGCCCTCTCGTATGCCACCACCAATCAGTCAAACACGCCAGACTCTTGTGGGTGATGAGTCTCACCTAAAGTTCTAACCAGACCCTTCCCTTCTTAGCAGATGATATCAGGCTTTCATGCAGGGTCGACCAAAAACTTTTCTATTTCTTTGGAATAATTATGAAATGCCACTTTCTGGAAATTACATATTGTCACTTAAAGTTGTGTGTGGGAGTGAGGTGTGAGAGAACTAAACAGATGTATGTGTATTGACCAATGACTTATTTGTCTGAAACATATGAGAGGGAATAAAAGCACATGCATGCAGCCTATTCTTATTCATCACAATTCTTGTTGAAGTCAATATCATTATTGTGTAATAATGAGTAAGTGAGTAACCGTGCAAATGTAGTGTCCTGTATCTAGTTGGTTCCCAACAGTCCATGTACTTTTTGAAAAATACAAAATAAAGAAATCCAAAGCCACAGCGACAAATAATTTCCAAATAAACAAAAAAATTATCAATTTTTCTTCAGATTGCTTCAGATTATTTAATTTTCATGGGGCCAAATTACCATTTCCCACATGCTCTCTATGGCGGTGCTGTTGCACTTTCAGCATGTGTAAACACTTAATTACTATGAAATAAGGGTAAAATTACACTGCATATGATGGGAAATTCAGAAGTTCAGACTGTGAGGGAAAGACAAGTGCATTGGGGAAAAGCCTTCTGTACTTGTGGTGTAATAAACTGTTCAATGCCCAATGCTTTCTCTGGTGCGACTGCTCCAGTAGCACTTTAGTGGAGATTTAAAAATGTCTGAAGCACATGGACTCTGTGACCTGCTGGTGCCGGGCGGCTGAGGCTGTAGAGCACACTGACAGAGGCAGCGAAGTCCTGACTCTGGGATTAATGACTGTTCACTGGAAGAAATGTTTACCACTCTGCAGCGAGCACTCCACACTCTAAGAGCTCAGTCATTTCAACAATACGCTGTGTGAAAAGCCCCATAACTCACAGTCTGTCCGCCTCTGTCTTTTAACCAGAGCTTTAATCAACCTTTATGACATCCTTTTGTCTCTTTATGGTCTATATATTTTGCAACCAATCCAAACATTATGCTCCCAATGGAGCAGACTATTAAGGCTACAAGAGCCAGAATAGTTTGGGTCACTGACCCACACTAAAGTAGATTTGATCTATATTATACTAAACCTTTTTATTATTATGCCTTTGTGTAATGGCTTTGAGAAAGATCACCTTGGAGAGTTTAACACCCAGAAGCTCTTTGTTGAAAAAGGACTATAAATTAAAAAACAAATAAGATGTGTAAAACACACATAACCAATATGCCTCAAAAGAAAATCTTTCAACATGTTCTGGAGATTTCTCCCGTTGATACTTTCCCAAAAACAGTCGTTGTTTAGGATATAGTGTCAGCAAACAAATACAAATAGCAAATATTCTATATTCATAAATGTATCAACAATTTAACCTGGTGTCTTGTTAAAGTAAATATGTAGATTTATTGCACATGTGTCAGAGATACCGTCTCTGTTCAGCTGCAAGTCACATCCATCCAGAGACAGCTCCATTTCACAGACTGGACCAATGGCGACATCTAGTGGACAAGAGATCAGGTTTGGTTAGCGCTAGAACTTGAAGGGAAAAAAAGATTCTGACAGGGTTTTGCTAAGGCTGCCCTGATGCACGTCAAATTGGTAACCAGAGTTGGAGATTCACATGCGGCATGCGGATCTTTCTACTCTCTGACTGGCAGTGTTGGGAGTAACGAGTTTTGTACTAGTTCAGATTAAAATAACTCAAGTTACATCCAAAACTCATTCGTTTGTGAGAAAAGATGAGATGATTTGAAGACAAAGGAAGAATACGTTGTCCTATTAGTATTTACTAGAGCTGTATCGATCAAAGAAATGAGTTGCTTCAAAGTGTCATGAAATCTCTAAATGTACTAAAGGCATGCCTTGTCAATCAATGAGTCAAAGTGAGCATTCTTTACAACCAGATAAAATGTTCTTTCCTGAAATAACGATGTGCACTAATGTTTGCATCAATTACAGCGACATGCCCTTGACACAAAGTATAGCCCAGTATAATGCGAGCTGGACTCTAGATTCCAGACTCAGCAGCAGCAGCAGCAGCAGTGGCACTTGACTTGAACTTCCAATAGTCAACAGATGAAGTGAGATGGCATTGCAGGCACGCATACAAAACAGACCCACTATGTCTGTCCTATTCACTGCAAATAACTTGTGCTTTGCCAAACAAATTCATCACAAGCTGTTGCACAAATAGAGACAAGGTACAGGCGATGCATGGTAACGCCACAGTGGACGCACATGCACGAAAGCCCCCGCGGCTCAAGTAAAGGCAGATGCTTTTCAACTCACCAAACAAATGTAGAAAACGTGAAGTAGTCTCTCAGAAGAAACCACGTTGGACTGAGGAAAGATTACAATAAGAAAAAAACGTGTTGAAACCAAGCATTTGCATTTGTATGAGTGGATATGACAGTGGCTCTTAATGTTGACTGTTAAAACAATTGCTATATTGTTTAATTGTTAAAGCATTTTCTTATTAAATGAGAAATAAAACATAACTTTTAGTATGTTTTATGAATTCCCAGGGATAACACAATGCAGTACTTTTGGTATTCAGTATCGGCAAGTACTCAAATTAAGGTACTCTTAAGCGTAGTGTATAGTCGCGCGGCGTGGAGCTTACGGTGGTGACGTGACGTCACTTGTGCAACGCAAGGATCACCGCAAGACCCTTGCGTAGCCTGCCGCGCAGGCATGCACCCTCGAAAATGTCTAACTACGCAGCCGGCGCCACAAGGAGCCTCGTTTTGATTGCTCCGTGTGTGTATGCGCTTTGGACGGAAGCATGGAGCGGCTGCAGAGAGCATGGATGAGGCACTTCAGAGCAGACTGCGTCACGCTTCGAAGGAACCGAAAGAAAAGCAGTTTGTGCTCATGGCAGAGCCTGATATTCGCGGAGCCCGTGGACTAGAGTTCTGTTGCATATCCAGCTTATAAACTGTGCAGTCGTTATTTTTGCACTGTTCCTGTCTTTGTTTGAATCTGCACTCGTAGCTTATCGCGTCTGTTGCATTCCTCCTGCACTTGTAAATAGTTCATGTTTGTCTCAAATATTTACCACCTATTGTTTTGCTGTTTGTGCTGAATACATTTTAATAATAACTATGTTTCCAACTAGAACTGAGTCTTTATTCAAAACATCACAGTTGAAATGACTTATGAAATAATGAGTTCATAGAACTATCACATAAACCTACACTAGAAACACATGTAATGAGCTCAAACAGCTCGGTTTGCTAATGTTTTTGTTCTGGAGAGGAGAAAGTAGCAGCATAAATGGGACCGCTTTGGATTCCCAGGCAACTCCTGTGAGATCGCCATCACATGGTTGGTTGTGGGATTACAACATTCTCTTCAAAACTACGTAAGGGGAACGCGCGAGTGGACGAGCCACTGTGGCTGCATAGGTCCAACTTAACCGCAACCGTAACCAGCGCCGCACGAGTATACACTAGGCTTTACTTGTATCGATTTTGATAAAAGTGGTATAGGTGCATCCCTCTTTTAAACCATATAGGCGTACTTCCAGCTAGGTAAAACTTCACCACAATTGCAACACGTGGCTTACTTTTCTCACATGCGTCAGCCCCGCACAGCCCTGGGCCCCTGGTTCCCTGGTCCCCTGCCCGCACCGCCCCTGCTCCGTGTCGCCTCTGCTCTGCCCCCGTGGAGCTCCAGCTGTTCTCTCCGCTGTCCCGCGCCTCTGCTCTGGCTGCTTCCGTGCAGGCTCCGCGATGACAGCCATTGCCGCCGCTTCTTTCTTCTCCAACAGCTGCAGGTTCGGCGGCTGCGGGCGGACCTTCGACTCTCTGTCCGAGCTCATCGCGCACATCGAGGACAGCCACATCGGTAAGTGCCGCGTGCACCTCTCCACCTTCAGCCTGCATGCTAGCTCTGTGCTGCGGCTAACGCTACCACTCACTCCCTGCGTCTTGACAACCGCGTTGCTAGGCGTGGTAATGTTTTCTGTAGGCCACAAAGCGATATATAAATGTGTTTTTATGTATCGAAAACGACATAAACACTTACGTCTCACGGTGGCGCTGTTGTGTGGGCTTTTGACTTCGAGGAGTTGTTGCGCGTGCGTTCGCAGACACGCGCTCAAATCCAGTCCTGCTTAGTGAACCCATGGATCTCGGTTATAATAATAACGAGTGAACCTGTCTGGGACTTTTGGGACTCTCAGCCAGAGTCTCAGTCTGGCTGGGACGTTCAAAACATGGATCTAAAACAATTACTCTGTTTAATATGGATTCAATCATGTTCATGACTGAAAAAACATGTATTTTCGTAGTATCACATGCATGCTTTCATTGAGTCACGCTTTGCACGTGCAGCCTAATATATTATAGTAATAGGTTACGTGCATGTTATTTTATAATTCACCAAAACAACAAGAAGATTTGTTTCAAAAGACTGAAAATGTCCAAATGTTTCCCCCTGATTATTATTTGATAGTGTTTGATTTTTCTAGTTTATAGTAGTACTAAACTCTGACACTTCACTTTATTGACTTGATCTGCCAATTATATATTCTGTCATTGTAACTCTATTTTATTTTTTATTTTAAATGTATTCCTTAGAGTGGTTTTTTATTCTTTTTATTTTATCTTATTCTCTCTCTCTGACTGTTGCACCGAGCCAAAGCACTTTCCAAGTCTGTGACCTCCTGTTACTTACGTGGCAATAAAAATTATTCTGATTCTGATTCTTAACTAGTCTGGAACCCTATGCTGCTATAATCACATATTTTATTTGCTTGTTTTTATATACTGTGCAATTATAGTTTTTGCATCAAGAGTTGAAATATTTTCTAAAATGTACATATGTCTGTGTTTGTTTTCCGACTGTGTGAATAATATATTATTAGTGATAATAGATAGTAGATTGTTTATATAGCAACATGGAATCAAAATGTGTCCACTAACAATTCACTTCACTCTATCTGCTTTTATCCCATCATGTCACTTGAACAGCCATAGCCATTATAGATTCTGTATTTCCCTGCTATTAGCTTTATGTGTTTTTCTCTATATGTACCATTATTTATCTTGTTGTGTGTGCTTACATTCCTTCTCTTATCTCAATCATTTAAAATACTCAATTTTAATATGTGCTTATACAGGTGCTACAGGTCTACCCTCATCACATCCTTGGTTGCCACAAACAGGGATAGGATTTTATGATCTTTTACTATTTACATTTTATAAAACCAAAGTCAATATTTAGTGTGAATAAAGACAGACCTTGGCTAATCTTTAGCAATTGAAAATGTTAAACCTCCGTTTAATTATATATATATATATATATATATATATATATGTATATGTATATGTATATGTATATATATATGTATATATATATATATATATGTATATATATATATATATATATATGTATACACAGCCACCTCCCAGAACAGAACTCAGTTACCATCACAGAGGCAGACATCCGAGAAAGAGTCTCAGGTATGAAAAACTGGACAGCACCTGGCCCTGATATGGTCCATGCCTACTGGCTAAGGACACTCACATCACTCCATGAGCGCCTAGCAGCACAAATGAACCAGCTGCTGAGAGATGGGACTCACCCAGAATGGCTAACCGAAGGGCGAACGGTCCTGATCATGAAGGACCCTGTCAAGGGTGCAGTCCCCTCCAACTACCGGCCAATAACCTGTCTCTCCACAACATGGAAGCTCATGTCAGGCATCATTGCGGCTAAGATAAGTGGGCATATGGAACAATTCATGAGCACAGCACAGAAGGGCATTGGTAGGGACACCAGAGGAGCCAAACACCAGCTCCTGGTTGACAGAACAGTCGCCCAAGACTGCCGGTCACGACACACCAACCTGTGCACAGCCTGGATTGATTACCAGAAAGCCTACGACTCAATGCCACACACATGGATCATGGAATGCTTGAAGTTGTACAATATCAACAGGGCTCTAAGGGACTTCGTTGCAAACTCGATGGGAATGTGGAAGACCACCCTTGAGGCAAATGGCAAGCCGCTCGCACAAGTGACCATCAAATGTGGTATCTACCAAGGAGATGCTCTGTCCCCACTACTGTTCTGCATAGGCCTCAACCCTCTAAGCCAAGTAATTGACCAGACTGGCTATGGATACCGCCTCAGGAACGGAGCAAAGATCAGTCACCTCCTCTACATGGATGACATCAAGCTGTACGCCAAGAGCGAGAGAGACATCGACTCTCTGATCCAAACAACCAGGATCTACAGCCATGACATCGGGATGTCATTCGGGCTCGAGAAATGTAGCAGGATGGTGACTCGGAGAGGCAAGGTAGTCCACACAGAAGGGATCTCACTCCCAGAGGGAACAATAGCAGACGTTGAGGACAGTTACAAGTATCTCGGTATACCACAGGCAAATGGCAACCTCGAACAGGTGACGAGGAAAGCGGCAACTGCCAAATACCTCCAGCGAGTAAGGCAGGTCCTAAGAAGCCGGCTCAATGGCAAGAACAAGGCCCGGGCAATTAACAGCTACGCCCTGCCAGTGATCAGATACCCTGCAGGAATAATCAGGTGGCCAAAGGAAGAGATTCAGACCACGGATGTTAAAACTCGAAAGCTCCTTACCATGCATGGCGGGTTCCATCCCAAATCCAGCACCCTGAGACTGTACGTAAGCCGTAAAGAAGGAGGCCGAGGACTAGTGAGTGTGAGAGCCACTGTCCAGGACGAAACATCCAAACTCCATAACTACATCATGGAGAAGGCCAAAACGGATGACGTACTCAGTGAATGTCTCAGGCAGTGGCGAGATGAGGAGGTGCTGGAGGAGAGCCCATCATGGGAGAACAAGCCCCTACACGGCATGTACCACCGGAGCATAACAGAAGTGGCTGATCTCAAGAAGTCCTACCAATGGCTAGAAAGGGCTGGCCTACAGGACAGCACAGAGGCACTCATTATGGCTGCACAGGAACAGGCACTGAGCACCAGAGCGATAGAGGCCCAGATATACCACACCAGACAAGACCCAAGGTGTCGGTTGTGCAAAGAGGCACCTGAGACGATCCAACACATAACTGCAGGGTGCAAGATGCTGGCAGGGAAGGCCTACATGGAACGCCATAACCAAGTGGCTGGCATAGTGTACAGAAACATCTGTGGAGAGTATGGGCTGGAAACCCCAAGGTCTAAGTGGGAAACTCCTCCAAAGGTGGTGGAAAATGAGCGTGCGAAGATCCTGTGGGACTTCCAGATACAGACCGACCGAATGGTAATGGCAAACCAACCTGACATCGTGGTGGTAGACAAAGGGCAGAGGACAGCCGTGGGTGGTGGACGTGGCAATTCCAAGCGATGGTAACATCCGGAAAAAAGAACATGAAAAGCTTGAGAAATACCAAGGTCTCAGAGAGGAGCTGGAGAGGGCCTGGAGGGTAAAGGTGACAGTAGTGCCCGTGGTGATCGGTGCACTCGGGGCAGTGACCCCGAAGCTAGATGAGTGGTTACAGCGGATCCCCGGAACAACCTCGGACATCTCGGTCCAGAAATGTGCAGTGCTAGGAACAGCAAAGATACTGCGCAGAACCCTCAAGCTCCCTGGCCTCTGGTAGAGGACCCGAGCTTAGAGAGGGATAACCGCCCGCGGAGGGCCAAAGGTGAGTGGACAATTTTTATGTATATATATATATATATATATATATATATATATATATATATATATATATATATATAAAACTGTATAATCTGCATATATAAATATATATATATATATATATATATATTGTACATTCCTTTAAGCAGGGGTTCTCAAAGTTTTGTTTTTTTTAAATTGGTATCAATACTTAATATAATATATATATTACGCATCTCCATTCTATTTATCATAAAGATAAAAAATAAAGAGTATTTTTTCTTTTATTTATGCCATAAATTGGCATATTGTATATTTCTAACCAATATATCAATAATCGTCATATCGTGATAAAATCGTTATCGTGATATCGTTATCGTGATATCGTTATCGTGATATTATCGTTATCGTGAGCTTTGTATCGTGTATCGTGAGGTACCCTTAGGTTTCCACCCCTACTGTAAACCCTAACTTCAATCGTACTTCAGATATCAAAGTTATTTTAAATAGATTTTTCCCAGTAAGTAAATATTACTATTGTAATATTGTTAGTTAATTGAAAGCTTGCCTATATCACTCAGGGTTTTCTTTGAATTGAACTGTTTCTGTTCAAGTAAGCCTCACTTTTGACATTTTGACGTGGTATGTTGATGCCAGGGTGGCCTGGTGGCTGAGTGGGTAGCACCATTACCTCTCAACTTCAGGGTTCTGAGTACGAATCCCGGTCGGAACATAAGTAGAAATTAAAACCTTATTGCAATCACTTGAGTTTACTTGGTAATATCAAGTAAAGGATGTACTCGAGGAATTCAAGTGAAGTTAATACGCAATTTATTTCCATGGTTTTTTCAAGTAAACTTTACTTGTCAGGGTTACAGTGCATAATCTTATGAATATAGTGTAATGTAATAATTATTAATGTATGTGAATGTAGGTCTTCTTGTAAAGCCTTTTATTTATTTTGTAGTTTTCTCATTACCTTTGCAGCTTGGATTATCTACATTTTTGTATAAAATCGTGTTTCTTTTTTTTTAACTTAAAGGTATATTGGTGGATTTTCCCAAATTTTCGGAAAGAACCTCCCTCTCCACGTTTTGAACAAAACTCTCAAGTCTTATTTGACGAGCACGTATCACCAGAATGATTGACAAATGGGAGGACCAATAATCTTGATGATCCACCCAGAAGAAGAAAATCCTCCTATATACCTTTAAGAAAATGCTTTATAATAAAA